GGGAGAGAGAAGAAGGGGTTTGGGAATCAACGAGCCTCGTGGCGGCAGAAGCAGCCCCGCGGCATGAAACCGTTCCCACATCCCAAACTGAGTGTATGGGAAGATGAGGCGGGGGGAGGGGCCCAACCTGGCAGTGGCCAGAAGGAAGTGCCAAAAGCGAGGCAATGTAGAGGTTTTATTTCCTTCAGGCTTCCAACTCCCAGAAAAGGGGGCACCCCCACGTCCTCAGGCACAAACACTGCACTCCCGTTGGGATGATAAACCCTCACCCTCCTGCACAGGGGCCCATTTTACCCTACGAGGGGGCATGAAACCATAGAATTCCAGCCTGGTTTGGGCTCGAAGGGACCTTAAAGCTCCTCCAGCTCCAACCCCTGCCCCGGGCAGGGACACCTTCCACTAGAGCAGGTTGCTCCAAGCCCCTGTGTCCAACTTGGCCTTGAACACTGCCAGGGATGGGGCAGCCACAGCTTCTCTGGGCACCCTGTGCCAGCGCCTCAGCACCCTCCCAGGGAAGAGCTTCTGCCTCAGAGCTCATCTCAGTCTCCCCTCTGGCAGATTAAAGCCACTCCCCTGGTCCTATCTCTCCATGCCTTGAGAAAGCCTCTCCCCAGGTTTCTTGGAGCCCCTTTGGAAGCTGCTCTAAGGTCTCCCAGCCTGTGTTTGTGCTGGAGACTGCCCTGACCCAGGGGCAGGACCTTGCCCTTGGCCTCGTTGAACCTCATGAGGTTCTCAGTGGCCTCCACCAGCGCCAAACCAGCGCCATGGAAACCCATCAGCTCCAGTCCCAGCCTCCCAACTTCCCAACCCCTGTTTCAAAGGGCCCTTGGCCTTTTTAGCACGGGGTTTTGTTGTCTAAAGGCTTTACCTCTGCTCCCTTCTGCAGCAGCAGCTCGACGCAGTCGGCATCAGCCACCATGCAGGCGCAGTGCAGCGGCTTCAGCGTCCCGTGCATGCAGTTCACATCTGCACCCTGCAGGAGCACAGCAGACCCCAGCTGGGCTCAGCAAACCTGCCCAGCCCAACCCTTCCCACCCAAACAGCAGCTCAGGCATCTCCAGCCCCACCATCAGAGGGGGGTTATGAACAGAGAAGTGTCCTTAACGCTCCCTGTGGTTTGGTTCAGGGCTTGCACTGAGCTCCCCCAGGGGCAGAAGCTCTCGACAGCCTCTGGCATTGCTCCAGGCCTTGCTTTTAGTTAACTCGTCGGCACTAAACGATGCCCGAGGGCTGCAGGAGGCTGGTGTGAGCCATGGAGCTGGTTATTCCAACTCTCTGCTCCAAGAGGATGAGGAATGTGGCCGGTATGAGTCTGGATGGGCACAGAGCAGGGGGCTGGAAAGGGAAGCGGGGTCTCTGCCTCACCAACAGTGGTTCAGAAGCCACCAGTGAGGCTCTGGGAGCATCGCTGGTGGGACACAGCCCTGAGCTGAGCCCGGGGGCTCGGTGGCTTTCAAAGGGTGTCTCCAAGGAGGTTTATGATGCTCGGCAGAGGCCTCATCACCCAAAATAGCTCAGCAGCTGCCCAGAGTCATCAGGCTCAGCCAGGGCTCTCCAGTGCCCATAGGAGTGACCTATGGGATCGTGGAATCATCATGCAATAGTTTGGGTTGGGAGGGACCTTAAAGCTCATCTAGTCCAACCCCCCTGCAGTGAGCAGGGACATCTTCAACTAGATCAGGTTGCTCAGAACCCCGTCCAGCCTGGCCTTGGATATGTCCAGGGATGGGGCAGCCACCAGCCCTCTGGGCAGCCTGTGCCAGGGTTTTACCACCCTCATTGTGAGCAATCTCTTCCTCACATCCAGCCTCAATCTCCTCTTTCAGTTTAAACCCACCAGCCCTCGTCCTGTCCCTACAGGCCCTGCTGGAAAGTCTCTCCCCATCTTTCTTATGGGCCCCTTTTAAGCACTGAACGGCCACAACAAGGTCTCCCCTTTAGGATCCTTCTCTTCTCCAGCTGCCCCAGCC